AGTTTAAATCACTTCTTATTGCTATAAATGTAAAAATGATGATATTCAATGATGACTGTCATATATGGAAGTCACTTTCTCCATGACTAAGAGATTGATGCAAACACAGAATTTGAATACTTTCAGTAAAACAAACAGAAAATGATGTGAAAAAAAAATATATGACTAATGACTAAAGATTTTGTGAGAAAAACTCACACAAGGCATAATACATCAGAAACAATACTAGGCACTTTCACTACAATGGTAACCAAAATATTGCCATTTTGAGGATAAGAATGCTAACATGAAGAAGAAACATAATGTAACAAGATCACAGGACAAGGAGAATTAAGCTTTCACATACCAGTATTTTCCGTAGGCACATTAGGCTCAAAAGCATGAATTTTCCTCTCTCCTAAAATATTCTAAGAAATTTAATGGAAATAAATAGAGACGTTAGAAGTTGGAGGTTCCTAGAAGGAAATATGTTTAAGAAAAAGAACATAAGTATTATAAATAGTAACATATAGATGAAGATTAATAACCTTGTGTTTTTCTTCTAAAAATCAATAGCCAATAAAAATACACATGATTGACACTAGGAACATACCTTTTCACATCCTGGCTTTTTACTTGGTAATAATGACAAGCAGCGGACTAGCCCAGAAAGAGTACTTTTGAGCTTTCCCTTGTCTTCTAAATAAAACTGGTTCTTCCTTAAAATATCTTCATAGCTCTGAAGAATCTGCTTATAAAACAACAAATAAAGAAAGAAACAAACCAAAAAAAAAGGTGATAACAATAAGAAGCAGTTACTTAAATTAATTTGAGAGTACCAGCACCTTCAAACAAAAATTTTCAAAGAAAAGATGTAACAGAAAATAAAACCACATACAAATACAACCACATAGAACAAAGGCAAAGAGTGTCTGACTGTAAAGATCCGTCTGATTGCTAATTTTATCTTGAAAAATCAAAAAACCTTTTTACAAAGAAAACCAAAAAAGCTTCAACCTCTATAAATGATATTAAAGCAAGTTTCTTTTTTTACTATGAATGAATTCTTTAACAAGTTTCTTATTTTAACAATGCCAATAAAACTTCAGTAATAAAATATAAAATTGCAACAATTACTAACATGACCGAATTCATGTACCTTTTCAGCATATAAGGAAAAGCATGGAGGATAGTACTGCACGACAAGATCAAAAAATCTGAAAGCCATCAAGCGAATGTCGATTGATAAATTTGTCATTGCATTGAAAATATAAGTCATCACCAAGGAGATGAAAAGCCCTTGATTATCCTGAATAAGAAAAGCCAAAACCCTCTTGTCAGTTAATGGATAAGAGCAATCATGATAAAAAAACTAATAAAATAGTAAATGGCAGAAATTAAGCACAACAATATCTGAAATTAAGGACAACAAATGAAGTGGCACATGCAGAAAAGATGACTAACCGGAAAGAAACTCTAAAGCATTATTCTTTTCTGTAAAATATATATGAAATCAATTCTTGTTCCTAAGAACAGTATTCTGTTGTAAACACACCTACAAATGATACTGATTCCTTCACCTAAGCAGCACTATACCCTGAGCTGCGTTTGAACTATGAGAGTAATTTCAGATCTTAAGCGCCACTTCAACACATCAAAAATTACTGAACTTATAGACAAACAAAATATAATAGACCCACTTGGCATTTCTCCTGCTTGTCTGTGCAAATATGTATGCTGTGTGAATAGCTAATAGATAACACTAAAAGGTAAAGCATGAAAATCTCTGCATGACTAAAGTCTCTACCCAATATAATGAGGTAGCAATACAGAAAGTAATTGTGGCCAACTTAATCTTTGAAAGTAGCCACCAGCTCCAAGTTAGAGTAAATAAACAAAAAGGGAAAGAAAAATCACCTCCGCACAGCCAGGGAAAATTTCAGACTTAAACAGTTGATATAATGCTTCTCTAACTACTTTATCATTATCACTTATGCGCTCCCGCAGTTTCTCTATAACCGCATATCTATGCAACCTCAACTCTGCTGGATGCTTGAGGACTAAATCCTTAATGCCCATTAGTGCATCTTCAAAGCGAATAAAACTTATATCAAGATCAATTTATGGCACTTGATACAAACACTGACTCGTAAAAATAATATCAATAAACTGGTCATTTGAAAAGGAAAAAGGAAAAGAACAGTTGTCTATCCCTAAATTACAAATTAAAAAACACAAATAATGTACTTGGGCAATAAAAGGTTATAATTCTTTAAAATCATATAAAATTCTATAATAACAAGAAAAAAAAAAAAGGTAACCTCTTCGAACTTTAGCGTTGTGATGAGATGTTTGCTGAAGAAGTTCTTTCAAAGTCAATCCTTTCTTGCTCACAGCTAAGCCTTCCTTGTCTGTTGCCACACTCTGCTCAGGAAGTACAATTGCTGCTCTCGCAATACACACGAAAGTGGATTCCGATGTATAAGATTACTTCTAATCAAGTTACACGAGCACTTTTTCGAGAAAGTAATCAAGAATTTTTGTGGCAAAAGAAATATCTAAATTCATGCATTCTAATTCAAAAGCAACATTTAATATACAAATTAACTTTCCACTTCTCACCCTTGGATTTAATCTCAGTGTTCGTGGCATTCTTCGGTGGAGGCAATTTCCGTCCAAGCTTTCTCTTTATTTTCTGCAAATAAATTCAAATAAAAAGTGTAAAAGAAAAAAGAACAGTGATCAATTAAACGATAAAATTTTCAAATTTTAGAACCAAAAATAAAGGAAAAAAGTGTAATAATAAAGGAAATTACTTTGAAATCTATGCCTTTCTTTTGCTGCTTCTTTGAAGGAGCCTTGGAACGCACCATTGTACTACACACTAAACAAAGATTAGAATTCTAAAACGAATAGAAGCAACAAAAAAAATTGTAGTTTATTTATTTATTTCACTCAATTCGTTTCTTATACCTGAATATAACTGTTTGGCTTCCGAGAAAAATAATGGAATAAAGTTTTCTCTGCAAAGCAAAAAACCTGGTTCCTACTTGCCAGCGAGAGTGCAAGGGTTTAGAGAGTGGAGTCGGGTCGGAGCCTTGGGCCCTCCCTTGAAATGGTTTTCGGTTTTTTGACGTGGTAATTGCCACGTAAGTCGGCAAACGGTCCAATGTCCAATTTAAACAATGTTTGCGGGCTTGGATTTGATTAGGACCTTTGGGTTTTAGAGATCTCCTAGAGCAGCCTTTGAAAGTCCTAGCCCAAACCAGATAATCTTTTTATTTATTTCAATAAATAATATATTTTATTTTATATTTAATTTTACTTTTTAAAAAAACATATTAACAGTCAAATCGTAATTTTGAATTAAGGTGACGTTTGGTACTTTAAAATGTAATGTGATTACAGATAATATGATTGTAAATAATATGATTGCAAGGAAAATAATATTACAGTATTTGATATATAAGCAAAATAATGATTAAAATATAGGACAGATAAAATTACAGCGTTTGGTTTATAAGTATTTTCTTAAGAATGTAATATTAATTTTCAAAATTACCTTTAGTTATTAAAATACAAATTCAATATATTTATATTTTTTATTATTAATTTTTATATAATATCATCTCTTAAATATATTTTTAATATCATATGTTTTATTTTTATTTATTATTATAATCTTATATATTTTATTTTCATTTCTTTAATATAATTTTGTATATTATATATTTTATTTTAATTACTTTTACTTATATTATATAAATTTTAATTTTTTATATTTTATTTTATTTTAATTTTTTATTTTTATATTATATATTTTATTTTAATATTTTTTATTTTAATTATAATATTATAAAAAAATTTTAATAAGATAATAAAATTAAAAAGTAAAAATATCTTTAAGAACATTACAGAGTGTAATGTAATGTGATTGAATTAGTTTTAGACTATAATCACATTATATTTTTTAATTATAATATAATTACATTGTAATTTTATATTACAGTAATCTGATACAAAATAAACACTTTAATATAATTTAATTAAATATATTATAAAAAATATACTTTCACTTATTTCATACCAAATGTTATTTAATATTTTAAGTTTATTTTAAGGTTGAATGACCTTGGCTTGGTTTTCGAACGCTCATTTCGAATCCCCGCAAGTATACCCTACCCACATTCCTATTCTAGGAGGCAAAACAATTATCTCACACTATGGATGTAACAGTCGAAGACAACCTCTTGACTCGTGACCAACCAAAGCTTAATTCAAATGACAATTAAGTTATTGTCAAATTAAGTTAAAAAAATCAATAACTCCAATAATAGATGAAACAAAAGTAATGAAGACTTAATTCAAGCATTTCAGTATGAATTAAAATAAATTTGTACTATTTGTTAAATGTTACTTTCGTAGATTTTATATACCAGTCTATATGATAAATAAATAAAATGATATCATATAAATTAAATTTATAAATAAATAAAGAGTAAGTTTCTTTTGAAATTATAGCTTGAATATGAGATGATGTTAAAATCTAATTAAAAAAATAGCATCCTTGACTTACGCTTTTTATTACAATCAATTAAACCCTTGACTGTAGTTTTGAAGGGTCCCTTGAGCTTGGGTGTGGCTAAAAAACCTCAAAAGCTCGAGCTTGGCTGCTTCGTACGAGCATTTCACACTTGCAGGAGTCGACCAGGCTCCATTATAACTCTCTCGTTACCGGAACACCACTGAGAAGAAAGAATCTTAACCCTTTCTTAGCATCTCGTTTCGCAGATCCTCCGACATTGCAAGTAACAAAACCCTAATGCTGCAGCAGCATCAACACCACCTCCAGTCCGCCGCTACGGCGGCACCGCCACTTCCACCTCCGGCGACGTCAACACCTCCATCATCAACCGCCGGGGAGGCGCCACCGAAGCAGGTGGCACTAGCGATGGACAGACTCGGACACGCCGCTAGACTCATCGCCGACATCCGTCTAGGTGCCGATCGACTTCTGGAAGCCCTATTTGTGGCCGCGCAGCCGCATCAAAGCTCCAAACCTCTCCACTTGTTCCGCCAAGAAGATGACTCCATGCGCCAACACCTCCAAGACCTCCGCACTATTGGTAAAAAGATTCAAATAATTAAATTTCCTTAAAAACTTTTTAAATTGATTTATTTTTAATGTCTTTACAGTGAAAATGCTGTCGTTTTTGTGGATTAGGTTTTTGAACATCGTGCTTGAATTTTGTTAGGAAGGCAGCTGGAGGAATCTGGAGTGTTAAATGAGTCACTTAGGTCAAGGAGTAATTCTTGGGGTTTGCATATGCCATTAGTCTGTCCTGATGGTGCCGTGGTGGCTTACGCTTGGAAACGACAGCTTGCTGGCCAGGCTGGTGCATCTGCTGTTGACCGGACAAGGTTCATAGTCATGGACATGGCGAATGTTTGATAGGATTGATATCTACTTAAGCTTTGATGCAATGTCTTAATGAGTTGATATTGTTAGTTGTATAATTAGGTCCGGGAATTTCAGTTTCCTGTTTGGTTCAGGGTTTAGGAAACTTTACAGGGTTGTAAGGGATACAGCACTAGTGTACTGATAGTGTTATAATTAATTGTGCATGTGTTGACTTGAATGGAAAATTTGTTAGGGTTCAGATCGAAATGGATGTGAATAGTTATAGGGGATTCAAATTTATTAAAATTTTTAAGTCTTATTCATTTTAGTAGATTGTGAAATGGTTTAATATGCATGGTTATTGTTTGATGTTGTTTTAAATGGCTTGCTGCCTTCCTTAGTTCTTATAAAATATAACTTGTTAATTACTTGTTTCATCAATGTTGCTAGCTTGTGCTGATCTAACACTGAATGAATAAGGGGGAGTACCCATGAACGAAGTTGAAACCACCCATGAATGAAGTTGAAACCAAGCCGCTAACTTACTGGCTAGGCTTAGTCTCAGCAACTCGTACAATTGCAAAGAAAGTTGCTTTGGATAGAATGAAGTGATTTTTTATGCTCTATCTATGCTGGCGTTTACTAACTTAATCTGCATTGCTTGTGGCATACTGTTGTTTTGTGCAAATTTTTTGCTGTCGAATTCGATGTGCATCATTTTACATTGCAACGTAATATTATATAGTGTGTCCTCTTTAACTAGCTATGCTTCATTGGGATTATAATAGTTGTTTGTGTTGAAATTTGGGATTGTCAAATTAATTACCATGTGCTTCTACATTTCACAGGCTTGCTCTCAAAGCCTTCACAGACCAGAAAAGGCGATTTTTTCCTCACCTTGACGATGAACAAAATGGTCAGGGTACTGATTCTGTGTCAAAGAAACACCGCAGTTCACAAGCTCTGCTGGAAGATAACCAAGATAATCTTAGCGATTGCAAAACATTATCAGATGTTCTGACAAGTTTGGAGAAAGACATGCCAAATTTGAAAGTTTTGACTTATGAGAGACTGGACTGGTTGAAAAGAGCTTCTTCATTGCCTGCTTCGGCAAATGATAATACCATGGAAGTCCCAAAACATAATTTTCACAGCTCAAGTATACTCAGACCAGGACCCCAGAATGTTGTTTCTATGGATAAGGTTGCTGTAATTGAGCTGTTGTTTCCTTCCGTCTTCAGAGCTGTAGTATCGTTACATCCAGCTGGTTCTACTGATCCAGATTCAGTGGCTTTCTTTTCTCCAGATGAGGTAATTTTTTTCAGAAGATGCAAATGCTTCTGGTTCCATACTTGAAGTTAATTACATAATAAACCTTTGATCTGCATGTGACCATTTAAGATGCAAATAGTGGTTATCTTACCTGAAGCTTGTCCTATTAGCCATGTGGCAGAGGAGTTAATTAGTTTTACATAGTAAAGATCTATCTTTGTTTGTACTTTGTCATGCTCCCATATTTGCATCTGTGCATAGAAGCAGAGGCTACTTGAGCATTTGATATAATCAAGATTTTGTTGCAATTGATCAAGCCTGTTCGAGGCTCAAATGTAACTCAAAACTAATTAGTCTGCTTCAAGCTTGTTTTACACCTTGAACAGGCTACTAATTGATCAAGCTTGTTCATGAGTTTGAAGAACTGACTATTGGCTTAGTGATTGAAAATGGTTGAAACTGTTGGAGTCTTGTTTGCAAAATAACTGTATTTCCCTAATCCTGTCTGGCTGGACTTGTAAATAATATCTCAGTGGAATAATGTGTCTGAGAGTTTGCGAAAATACACAAATCAGGTAACTAACAAATATTCTCTCAAAGAGATGTTACATTAGTAATTTTCACGAAATGTAATAGACATAGGCATGCTTTGAATTTAGTTAAATTAAGACAGGCCAAAAGCATTGAAGTGGTTTCTTTAGTTCGACATTATGTGATGATTAAGCCACCTTAGCCCTTCAGAATTAGTAGCAACGTCCTTCCAGATAGGCTTTTATTCGTGCTGTTACACCACTCTCTTGCTTGCTTTGTCTCTCTGTCTGCATGCAGCATGTATGTTGTGCTGGTGCTGGTGGCTGGGTTGTTTTTTGCTGGACTCAACTGGTATCTTGGGAAGTTTTGATGTTATTTGAAGGCATAGGTGCAATGGGAACTCTTTTCTCTTTTTGGCCAACCAACGGGAATTTAAATTTGCTGGCAGAAAGTTAGACCAGAAATCATGTTCCCGAAGCCTGAATTTACTGTCTTCAGTGCTCCAAAGTTTTCAAAGCTGCAAGTTTGGGGCTGGACCAAAGTTTATCTTGTGATTTCACAAGAAAGGGAGAGTGCAAACCACCTTTCTGCTCACAATCAACCTTTGCTAGCATAATCATATTTAAGTTTGGTACCATATATGCTCATTAACTAATGAAATTTATTTGGACTTTCATCATATAGCTTGCTTAGCTCTAGAAGCTTTTGTTGCTTGCTGGCTCTCAATAAGGCAGTTTAATTGCTATTCTGTATTTACTTTTCACATTCTTGAACAGGGTGGCAGCTACATACATGCTAGAGGTTCTTCAGTCTATCATGTATATAGGCACATCACGGTAACAATCTTTGGAGCTCATCTTGTGTTTTCAGTTTTCTCTAGTGGAGGTTGAAAATATCCAGTAAACTTGAAGCTTTCTGTTAAAACATGCAATTATTTCCCCATTGCAGGAGCATGCTGCTGTCGCCCTCCAGTATTTTCTTGGAATCAGAAGTGAAACAGCACTCCATTCTCTTTTGGTATGGTCTGAAACAATTTGTGAATTTTTATTCAATTTTTAGTGGCCATTTATGCTAATGATGCACTAAGACTTTTGTTTTTGTAGCACTGGATCTGCAGCTATCGAAGTTTATTTACTGACATCTGCAGGTACGATATCTTCCGCTTTCTTTTTTTTCAGCTCTTCTTAGCTTGTGTAGAATTTTGTATTAAAATGATGAAACTATTGGTACAGCAAATGTGGACGGCTACTGGCAATGGAAAAGCAATCGGCTTTGCTCTTACCTCCAGTCCATCATCCTTATCGGACATTTTCTCCGTCAAAAGCTTCGTCGACGCAAGCAATTGCCTCAACAGGAGATCAAAGTTGTAGTGCCCCCAGAGCTTATCATATTGGTTGCTTTTCGGATGAAGCATAGTGTGATTAATGAGGCAAGGTGTGACAGCGGAGCTAGGAAATAGAAAGATTGAATTAAGTAGTGACGAAAAGAGATTGTCTTGACTCCTAGGTTTGTCATCTGTTTTGTGTTGGTATGTATTAATTTATTTATTTTACGGTTCAGCCTTGGCTCCTGTTTGTGGTTGTTGATCTGGAAAGTTTGTATCGTGCGGTTTGTTGTAGTTTAATTTAAACAAGAAGAGTTATTGGTTAAATCCACCATAAGAGTCATGTATGTAAAACCATAATTTGTAAAAAGACAAGGAAATAAAGGAATGATAATTGTTTCTGAGGGAAAGAGGAATAAGTAGTCGTTGCATCTTCACTGCCGCTGGGGCGTGGGTTGTAACTTTTGCAAGTCAATTATTCCAGCCAGCATTGCTGATTACCTGAAGCACATCTTGGTTGGTCGGTAGGTTGTAGAAAGTGTGTTAAATTTATTATTAGCATTGGGTAAATTCACCTTGTCATTCCGTATCATTTAACGATGATATCTCATGCATGCACGACGACATTCATCACACCTCTTGCACCCTTTTCATTGACAGAAGAACAATCTCGTGAATCATTTGGATTTTTGCATGCTGGTTAATTGAGTACATCACGTTAAAAATGCATTTTTTTTTGCATAATATTTAAATAAGTTTTTTTTTTAATTATGTTTAATTAAATTTTTTTATTTTAAAATAAAAAATTTTTATGATTAATGATTGATTATTCGGTGTTAATGATTTGTTATTATTATGTGATGTTAATATAATATATTAATATATCATAATAGATAATAACATAATATACTTAATAGTTATATGACATGTTTCACTTACCATATCACTAACAATATAGAATGAACTGTCCACGTCATTTGGCGTGTCTTTATCGAAAGAGAAGTAGCAGTGGTGGTAGTAGTGTCCTGTTAATAAATCCAACAATAAAGAAGTGGCAGGCTGTCGAAAAATGATAGGAAAGGGCCAACCATATGTGGAGCAGTGCAACTGTTGTATCATTATTCCTTCCTAGTAATCATCCAGTCATGAAGCATCCAACTTGGGCAAATGACAATAACAAGCAGCATTCCCATTGGTTGACATGAACGCAATGTGCTCCCCCACTTTCCTCCTTCCTTCTTAGCACCCAAAACTGATTGACCCCTACATTACATTGATTGAATTCAGCCAAAGTGCATAATGCTTATGCCCTTTACTTTATGGGGTCCATCTCTTTGTGAGGGTGCCGCCTCTGCTGTTTGCCCAAGCTGACCAAGTCTGGCCGTGTAGGCATTATGAAACCAACTTGGCCTTGATTATACATATTTTAGACCATTACTAGGTTGGCACTACTCATAATGATCTCTTTTCAAGGTATATAAAAGAAGGGGGCAAGAATTCAAGTGTTGGTTAGCGTAGGTGCTACTGCTACAATAAAATCCAACCAAACTAAATAAATGGATCTGCTTTGATTCTCAAAACCATTATAGAATCAGTTTTGGTTCAGTTTCAGGCATTCATTGTTTCTCAAGCAGAGTTTTTGAGTGGCTACCCAGGAGCCTCTGCCTGCCAAACTACTCAAACCAAACCTACACCAATGCAATTATTTGCGCTTCAAACATCAACAGGTCCGGTAAAATTGCCGTGGTACATTGAGAAGTTGGTCACAATGAGAGCATCTAGCTATGAACCAACAACCAAGAGGTTTTCCGGCTACACTGATTCAACTTCAGGGGTGTCTTTAATTTGAATGAAGGCAATTTCCTACATACTCAAGGATGACTTTCACTGACCTCAGGTTTGTGCTCATTCAAGGCAATTTGCATTCAAAAAACATGGTAAGCTGCCTTAGTGACTAGAGAGTATGGGATAGCCTCCATGACTAGAATCTTATGACATGCATAAAAATATGTCTTTATGGATTTTGACAGCCAGGAACTTAGAAAATAAGGAACAAGAATGTGGAAGGACCAATAAATAGTTCACATTCACCATTGCTCTCTATCTACATCATCATAAGCAGGAAAATATTACAACTGAAAGTGAAATGCCTAGACATGAGACTTTCAAATATCTGGAAATCCACCAATAAAGCAACCACAGTGAAAAAAAAATTATATATATATATATATTGACATTGAATTCTCAAATAGATAGAACACAAACTGCTATCTACAACTACCAAATGAACAAGGTAGTCAAAGAAATGCAACAAAGTACTTCGTTTATCGACCATCAGCAGAAGTGAATGACTCTGCAAAACCAGTAGGCCTAGCCGGGATACTACCTTTGCTGTCTTCTAGGTCCATATAACTAAAATCCTTTCCTTCTGCTTCCTGCCAACCCTTCACCATTTGGTTAAGGGGAAGGCTGTAATCAATGCCACAATAGTCATCATTATCATCATCCAGTGGTTTCCATTTTTCAACAAGTGGAGCCAATACATTCACGGCATGGCCCATGTCGGGCCGTTGGCTGGGTTCCCTTGCAGTGCAATGGCCAGCAAGTTCAGCAATGATGGAGACACTCTCAAACGTTTCATCTTTTACATCAAGATCTGGGTCAATCGCAGCCCTCAGTTTCTCCTTGTCTGATTTGATATGCCAGAACCATGCAGCTAAGTACTGGGTCTCCTCAGGCCTGTCCTCATCAAGTGCCATCAATCCAGTCAAAAGTTCCATCAGTACAACACCAAAACTAAAGACATCAGCTTTGGTCGTGATTTTTCCTGTCACTGAATTGATTGGCACATGAAATTAGAGTCAGTGCAAAAAAAGGGGAGGACATAAAGAACAAAAACATACTAGTCTATGGGATGCCAGTCTACTGCTTAAACAAGAGAAACACAAGCAAAGTTTCGTGTTGCTGGTAAGGGCAGGTACTTGGAACATATTTTCAAGGGCTGTGCTTCATCGTTGAGATTATACATCCCAATTTGAGCATCAGTATTTTCCAAATGTCAATTGAAAGGCAATACCAAAGATTTGAACTTTCTTTTTGATTTTGATCTAACAACAAAAATTTCACATGGTGCAAACTTGGGTCAATGTGGAAAGGTTTTAACTCAAACTGCAATGTGAAGCTTAGTTCAAAGATCTGATTCAAAAGTGAATACAATGATAA